GACCACACTTTTGGAAGACTGTCGCAGTGTTCTGTCCCCGAACGAATTGGTCAAGGCGAAGAAGTTGTTACTCGAGTACGCCGATGTATTCTCATCAAACGATGCTGACATAGGAAAGACTGGTTTAGTTCAACACAAAATAAACACAGGTGAAGAGTTGCCTATCCGTCAGCGGCCAAGACGATTGCCGCTAGCACGTGAAAAGGAAGTGGAAACCATGATTAAGGGAATGGTGAAGGATGGTGTTATTGAACCTTCATCTAGTCCATGGTTCACCCGTGGTACTGGTAAAGAAGAAGGACGGCAGCTTGCGGTTTTGTGTTGACTACCGCCGTCTGAACGACGTTACTAAGAAGGATAGCTATCCCTTGCCAAGAATTGACGACACGCTGGACATGCTTACAGGAGTAAAGTGGTTTAGCACGCTGGACCTAAAAAGTGGCTACTGGCAAGTTGAAATTGACCCTAAGGACAAGGAGAAAACTGCGTTCTCGACGGGAAAGGGTCTGTGGCAATTTAAAGTAATGCCGTTTGGGTTGTGCAATGCTCCAGCAACGTTTGAAAGGCTGATGGAACTTGTACTTACCGGGCTAATTGGCGACGCCTGTCTGGTCTACTTGGATGACATCATCATCGTGGGCCGTACGTTTGAGGAACACCTTCAAAACTTGGAACGCGTGCTCATGAAGATTAAGAGTGCCAACCTCAAGTTGAGTCCGAAGAAATGTTCACTATTCAAACGGCAAGTCAACTTTTTGGGGTATGTAGTGTCGGAAGAAGGTATCCGCACGGATCCAGAGAAAATCGCAGCTGTAAAGGATTGGCCGGTTCCAAAAGACAAGACGCAGGTTAGAGCATTTTTGGGTTTGTGCTCCTATTACCGACGTTTTGTGAAGAACTTTGCAGATATAGCCAAACCCCTGCATAAGCTAACCGAGGAGAAGCGACATTTCTGCTGGGATGAAAGTTGTAATATCGCATTCCAGGAGCTCAAGGACCGTCTGTGCAAAACACCTATTTTGGGATACCCTGATGCAAGCAAAGAATTTATAGTTGACACAGACGCAACTTGGCGGTCTAGGACTTGGCGGTGTGTTGTCTCAACGGAATGGTGACCAAGAGGTCGTGATAGCGTACTTCAGGAAGTCGTTGTCAAAACCGGAAAGGAACTATTGTGTCACAAGACGCGAATTGCTCGCTGTGGTAAAGTCGTTGCAGCATTTTAGCAAATATCTTCTGGGGCGGAAATTTCACTTACGAACTGACCATGCTGCACTAAAATGGCTCTTGCAGTTTAAAAATCCAGAAGGACAAGTTGCGAGGTGGATTGAACTACTGCAGGAATACGACTTTGAGATCGAACATCGCAGCGGGAAATCTCATGGCAACGCAGATGCATTATCACGAAGACCTTGTCCTGAAGATTGCAAACATTGTACTAGGCAAGAGAGTAAGGAAGTGGTATCCGTGAGGATGCTCAGGGCAGACCACCTCAGCAACGAGTGGAAGGACAGCTTTCAACGTGTACAGCAGGAAGATCCGGACATCAAGCCGATCCTGGAATGGATGAAGGCCAGTGCTCCCAAGCCTAAGTGGAGCGACGTCTCAGCAATGAGTTCAACCACTAAAAGCTATTGGGCCCAGTGGGACAGCTTGCTGCTTCAGGATGGAGTTCTGTGCCGTAAATGGGAAAATGTTCGGGGAGACAGCTGTCATTTACAAATGGTTGTCCCTAAAACTAAAGTACCGGATGTTCTACAGCTGTACCATAATGATTATTCAGGAGGCCATCTGGGAGTTAAACGAACTCTACTGAAGATCCGAGAATGGTTTTACAGGGTCCACTGTCGAAACGATGTCGAGGACTGGTGTCGCAAATGTACAAGTTGTGCGGCTGTAAAGGGGCCTCAGACTCGTAGTAGTAGTGCATTGAAGTTGTACAATGTGGGTGCACCATGGGAGAGAATAGCCATTGACGTGGCGGGGCCGTTTCCGGAGAGTGAAAGCGGTAACAAGTATTTCATGGTTGTGATGGATTACTTCACTAAGTGGCCAGAAGTCTCCGCCATTCCAAATCAAGAAGCTTCAACAGTTGCAGATAAACTAGTTCATGAAGTCTTCTGTCGTTTTGGAGTACCTTTAGAGATTCACAGCGATCAAGGAAGGAATTTTGAGTCTCAAATATTCCAGGAAACTTGCCGAGTTATGGGTACTCATAAAACAAGAACGACTTCTTATCACCCGCAATCTGATGGAATGGTGGAACGATTTAATCAGACATTGGAGAGGTACCTAGCAAAAGTTGTAGACAATCGGCAACGAGATTGGGACAAGCACATACAACCGTTTTTGTTGTCATATCGAAGTTCTGTTCACAAAAGTACAGCAGTGACACCAGCTTTCGCAAACTTTGGAAGAGAATTACGGCTGCCTGCAGACCTGATCACCGGGATACCACCTGATGCTCCACACAGTATAACCGATTATGCAAATGACTTGCGGAAAAAAATGAATGACATTTATGAGCACGTCAGACAATCGGGCCAGAAAATGTCTGAAAAGATGAAAACCCGGTATGACCGCAAAATGAACAACAAAGGGTTCGACGAAGGTTCACTTGTGTGGTTGCACAATCCAGTCCGCAGCAAAGGGAAATCTCCTAAGCTTCAAGCTAAATGGGACGGCCCGTACCGGATTGTGACCAGGATCAACGATGTAACCTACCGGATACAGAAAGGCGCAAGAGGGACTCCTAAGATCGTCCATGTGGATCGCCTGGCGCGTTATTATGGGGCCGATAATGCTCGGGACGAGCATGTCTTAGGAGGGGGCAGTGTTACGCGCTCAAATCGACAATACACTAGCGCCATCTAGTGTCAGGAACGAGAGCGAGGGGAGCATTGAGAAAATGACATCACAAATCACTCAACCGACAGCGCCTAGTCGAAACTCGAACGCTCGGTACCTTGCGCGTGTTTACTTGAACATTCTGGATATTTCTTTGTTAATTTAAATATATAGGCGCTGCAAGATGCGATCGAGGGAGAGTTGAACTCGGCGACACAAGCGAAGCTTCGGAGCGGAATTAAGTGAATTAGTGTGTTTAATTATTAGTGTTTTTAGTTTTAATTTGTGTAAAGTAAATTAAAGTGTTAATTTAGGTAATTTTATCGGCAATTTTTATTGTCACGAACCTCAAGCTCGTAACAATATATATATATATATATATATATATATATATATATATATATATATATATATACATATATATGGCAAGTTAGTATTCTTACTTTTCTTGATTTTAGCAAAACTTTCAACACAGTCGATTTCGACATACTTCTAGTAGCTGTGCTCCATTCTATTAACGTACCAGCAGCAACCGACTGGTTTCGTAGAGTGATAGGTAGCAGCAAACTACTACAAAAAATTACTTGGCATATGCTGCCCTTTGTTTGTTTTGAGAATTCTGTTATTCCTTATAGTAAGGTTGTAAAAAATCTAGGGGTTCAAAATGACAGCACCATGTCTTGGGCACCTCAAATGGAACAGATAAGCAAGAAAATGTTTGCAGCTTGTGGAAGTCTTAAGAGACTCCGAAATTTCCAAATTCTACCAAAATTGCGTCAGCACATTTCATTTTGTTACCTATTTTAAACTATGCTGATATATGCTACACTGATATTACCATGGAGCAATTAAACAGCTTGAGCGTCTTCAGAATATATCCATTCGATTCATATTTGGTTTACGCAAATATGATCATGTATTCCAATTTCGAAATCAACTCAAGTCAACCCTTTTCGCCTTCGCCGGAATGTACATATACTCTCTTTACTTTTTGTATACTGTTTGATCCGAAATCTCCAAGATAACTTAAGGAACAATTTCATTATAGACATGAATTTCATAACTGCAATTTGCGTTCAGTTTATAGCTTGGCACAGTTTATTTTATATTGCACGTTGTACCTATCCGTCAAAATATAAAATTATAATGTTCTTTTATGTTCGGTTTGTCAGGCAGGAATCGCTTAAAACGAAATGACCACCGTTTGTAGTCATAAGTTTGTCGTTATTGTAATTACTTTGTTCAAATGCAATAGAGAGTTATCTAGTTTAGTTTACGACGGGCTGTTTTCAGCAACTCCACGTCTGAGCGCGTATTTTGCGTGTGGGCAGGAATAATATGGTTATTCGAGCCATGATATCTCCCTGAAGAAGCTCAGCAGTCCCTTGATGTTGCAAGCAACTTCAGGGAGCGATCCCGGCGTGCCGTTATCAGAGTTATGAGAGTTATCTATCTACCTATATATATAGCGTCCATATTTATAAATCGCAGTATATCGATATTCCATATTTATCATGGATTACGAATACGCATTACTTTCGATATATTTTTAAATGTTGTAATCGACATCGACAAAACATTTAACAACAAAAGAAGCTACAAAAACATCGTTTCGTCATTCAACCGTCCAGTAATATCATTTTAAGCCTTATGATATATAGCTATTCATCACGTGAATATATCAATACTGTTTAAAAATATCGTTACGACATAATATATCGATATAGTTTTTCACTTGCCCATCCCTACTCGTCGCTATTGCCACATGAGTACATAAACGGAACATTGCTCGCAGCTAGCCGGACACGCGAGGGACCCCGTTTGCGCGCCGATCGCCCGCCTTCGTCTGCTTCACCCCCTTAAAACCTACGTGAACACGATCCCATTTCGTCTTAAACGTTTACTGTCAACTGTCCTATAACTAAACTCGCTACTGTATTTGTCGAAGTGTAAATCGGTCCTTAATGTAATAGAGACTGCACGAACCTAAACAACATCTGAAAATAGCGTAGCGTTTGGATATTTGGGCATATGAAGTTTGAATAAGCCGACCGACGTACTCTTTGTAAAATTATATTCGTTATCAAATCGTGCATTAAGATAACATTCGCACTAAAATTAAAGACAGCCTTAAAACAAAATTGTATACACACCAACAGCGACAACAAGTGCTGGGGTAGAGCGACAGTCGGTACGCGCGGGAGGGAAGACGATGTCCCCGTAGCCGGGGAGAGTGCGAGCGAGAGCGAGGTAGTCCTCCGCTCGCCGCACGTCTTGCAGCGCTTTCAGCTGGTAAAGACGGTTGCCCGCATTGCACACGCCCCGGTTCACGTCTTCAACCGCCTGAAACGAACGATCAAATAAACTGTAAAAAACGCACGACTACAGTCATAAGCGTATGTAAATTTGCACTAATATTAACATGTAAATGTTGTTTGAATGTACGTCAATGACGCATATACGGATTAAAATTAACAGCCACTTGCGCACGCACAGGCAGCTGGCTGACGTGCGAGCGAGAGAGCGCTATCTGCCAAAAGAGGAAGGCTGCGGCGGCGGGGTGCGAGCGTGCGAGCGCGGCGTTTTGAGTCAGTGAGAACAGCCACTTGCGCACGCACAGGCAGCTGGCTGACGTGCGAGCGAGATAGCGCTATCTACCAGAAGAGGAAGGCTGCGGCGGCGGGGTACGAGCGTGCGAGCGCGGCGTTTTGCGTCTGTGAGAATAGCCACTTGCGCACGCAAAGGCAGCTGACTGACGTGCGAGCGAGAGAGCGCTATCTGCCAAAAGAGGAAGGCTGCGGCGGCGGGGTGCGAGCGTGCGAGCGCGGCGTTTTGCGTCGGTGAGAATAGCCACTTGCGCACGCACAGGCAGCTGGCTGACGTGCGAACGAGAGAGCGCTATCTGCCAGAAGAGGAAGGCTGCGGCAGCGGGGTGCGAGTGTCCGAGCGCGGCGTTTTGCGTCGGTGAGAACAGCCACTCGCGCACGCACAGGCAGCTGGCTGACGTGCGAGCGAGAGAGCGCTACCTGCCAGAAGAGGAAGGCTGCGGCGGCGGGGTGCGAGCGTGCGAGCGCAGCGTCACGCGTCGGTGAGAACAGCCACTTGCGCACGCACAGGCAACTGGCTGACGTGCGAGCGAGAGAGCGCTACCTGCCAGAAGAGGTAGGCTGCGGCGGCGGGGTGCGAGCGTGCGAGCGCAACGTCACGTGTCGGTGAGAATAGCCACTTGCGCACGCACAGGCAGCTGGCTGACGTGCGAGCGAGAGAGCGCTACCTGCCAGAAGAGGAAGGCTGCGGCGGCGGGGTGCGAACGTGCGAGCGCGGCGTCACGCGTCGGTGAGAACAGCCACATGCGCACGCACAGGCAGCTGGCTGACGTGCGAGCGAGAGAGCGCTACCTGCCAGAAAAGGAAGGCTGCGGCGGCGGGGTGCGAACGTGCGAGCGCGGCGTCACGTGTCGGTGAGAACAGCCACTTGCGCACGCACAGGCAGCTGGCTGACGTGCGAGCGAGAGAGCGCTACCTGCCAGAAGAGGAAGGCTGCGGCGGCGGGGTGCGAGTGTGCGAGCGCGGCGTCACGCGTCGGTGAGAACAGCCACTTGCGCACGCACAGGTAGCTGGCTGACGTGCGAGCGAGAGAGCGCTACCTGCCAGAAAAGGAAGGCTGCGGCGGCGGGGTGCGAACATGCGAGCGCGGCGTCACGCGTCGGTGAGAACAGCCACTTGCGCACGCACAGGCAGCTGGCTGACGTGCGAGCGAGAGAGCGCTACCTGCCAGAAGAGGAAGGCTGCGGCGGCGGGGTGCGAGTGTGCGAGCGCGGCGTCACGCGTCGGTGAGAACAGCCACTTGCGCATGCACAGGCAGCTGGCTGACGTGCGAGCGAGAGAGCGCTACCTGCCAGAAAAGGAAGGCTGCGGCGGCGGGGTGCGAGCGTGCGAGCGCGGCGTCACGCGTCGGTGAGAACAGCCACTTGCGCATGCACAGGCAGCTGGCTGACGTGCGAGCGAGAGAGCGCTACCTGCCAGAAAAGGAAGGCTGAAGCAGCGGGGTGCGAGCGTGCGAGCGCGGCGTTTTGCGTCGGTGAGAACAGCCACTCGCGCACGCACAGGCAGCTGGCTGACGTGCGAACGAGAGAGCGCTATCTACCAGAAGAGGAAGGCTGCGGCGGCGGGGTGCGAGCGTGCGAGCGCGGCGTTTTGCGTCGGTGAGAATAGCCACTTGCGCACGCACAGGCAGCTGGCTGACGTGCGAGCGAGAGAGCGCTACCTGCCAGAAGAGGAAGGCTGCGGCGGCGGGGTGCGAGCGTGCGAGCGCAGCGTCACGCGTCGGTGAGAACAGCCACTTGCGCACGCACAGGCAACTGGCTGACGTGCGAGCGAGAGAGCGCTACCTGCCAGAAGAGGTAGGCTGCGGCGGCGGGGGTGCGAGCGTGCGAGCGCAACGTCACGTGTCGGTGAGAACAGCCACTTGCGCACGCACAGGCAGCTGACTGACGTGCGAGCGAGAGAGCGCTACCTGCCAGAAGAGGAAGGCTGCGGCGGCGGGGTGCGAACATGCGAGCGCGGCGTCACGCGTCGGTGAGAACAGCCACATGCGCACGCACAGGCAGCTGGCTGACGTGCGAGCGAGAGAGCGCTACCTGCCAGAAAAGGAAGGCTGCGGCGGCGGGGTGCGAGCGTGCGAGCGCGGCGTCACGCGTCGGTGAGAACAGTCACTTGCGCACGCACAGGCAGCTGGCTGACGTGCGAGCGAGAGAGCGCTACCTGCCAGAAGAGGAAGGCTGCGGCGGCGGGGTGCGAGTGTGCGAGCGCGGCGTCACGCGTCGGTGAGAACAGCCACTTGCGCACGCACAGGCAGCTGGCTGACGTGCGAGCGAGAGAGCGCTACCTGCCAGAAAAGGAAGGCTGCGGCAGCGGGGTGCGGGCGTGCGAGCGCGGCGTCACGCGTCGGTGAGAACAGCCACTTGCGCACGCACAGGCAGCTGGCTGATGTGCGAGCGAGAGAGCGCTACCTGCCAGAAAAGGAAGGCTGCGGCGGCGGGGTGCGAGCGTGCGAGCGCGGCGTCACGCGTCGGTGAGAACAGCCACTTGCGCACGCACAGGCAGCTGGCTGACGTGCGAGCGAGAGAGCGCTACCTGCCAGAAAAGGAAGGCTGCGGCGACGGGGTGCGAGCGTGCGAGCGCGGCGTCACGCGTCGGTGAGAACAGCCACTTGCGCACGCACAGGCAGCTCGCTGATGTGCGAGCGAGAGAGCGCTACCTGCCAGAAAAGGAAGGCTGCGGCGGCGGGGTGCGAGCGTGCGAGCGCGGCGTCACGCGTCGGTGAGAACAGCCACTTGCGCACGCACAGGTAGCTGGCTGATGTGCGAGCGAGCAGAGCGCTACCTGCCAGAAAAGGAAGGCTGCGGCGGCGGGGTGCGAGCGTGCGAGCGCGGCGTCACGCGTCGGTGAGAACAGCCACTTGCGCACGCACAGGTAGCTGGCTGATGTGCGAGCGAGAGAGCGCTACCTGCCAGAAAAGGAAGGCTGCGGCGGCGGGGTGCGAGCGTGCGAGCGCGGCGTCACGCGTCGGTGAGAACAGCCACTTGCGCACGCACAGGCAGCTGGCTGACGCCGTCGAGTAGTTCTGCACGTACAATGCGTGCGGGCACTCGTTCGGTTGCAGTTTGCGTTCTGTAATGGACAAGTTATTTCATTTTATTTTAATTGGAACACTAAAAACATTGATATATTTCACTTAATACTTTAAATCCACACAGCTATAATATTTGAAAGAATTACAATGAACAATGTATATGCAGCAATACAGTCGTTTTTTACTCCGGAACAAAATTGATTTTTAAGACAAATGTAGGCTGTATCCAAAAGTTTTTAATGACTGTACCTCCTAATAATGGATTCAGTAGCACAATTTGATACTTTACTTACAGATTTCAATAAAGCAATTACAATTACAATTTTCATTAAAAGAAAGGGGAATGAAAGTGAATGCAAGTAAGACGAAAGTGATGGTTTTTTGAAAGAGAAGAAAGAAAAACGGTATGTGAAATAAGAATAGAAGGAGAGTTAATTGAGCAAGTGGATGAGTTTGTGTATTTGGGGTGTGTATTTAGCAGGGTTGGTGGATATGATAAGGATATAAAACGACAAGTAAATGCAGGGAATAGAGTAATGGGGCACTACACTCTATTATGAAGAATCAGAATGTGTGAAAAAAGGCCCGTATGGTAATTCATAATGCTGTGTTAGTCCCTACTATAATGTATGGTAGTGAAAGCTGGATGTGGCAGAAGAAACATGAAAGTAGAATAAATGCTGTAGAAATGCGGTCTTTAATGTTAGATAAATGATCATTATGCAATATTACTTAGCAATCTTCACAATTAATATTAATATGAATCTATTTCAAACTACCTACATTAATTCTAGAATTAAGTCACAATATAAAAGCGCGTACACTTGACGCTCGCGGCAGTTGATTACGAACAGTGGTGCTGAGAAGGTTATAATAGTCAAGTCTATTGTGAAATAAGGTGATTCTAAAGGTTGTGAGTAAAGTTAAATTAATATATAGTCACCTTTGTAAAAGTAAAGTATAGTGTGTTATAAAAGTATTATATACAGTTTAAGAGTGAAATTAAACAACGAACAAAGTGATTAAATAGCTAACTAAGCGAGTTGTCGTGGTCTTATTGGAGAAAAGCTGATAAATTCAGAAGTGCGATGAAACAACCCACACGTAATCGCAAGACATCCTGTCTTAAAGTCGATTTGCAGTATACGCAAAGAAGTGAGTTTACTATGAACCAAGGTCAGTGACTTTTATTCCTCTTTAATAATTCGTAATAAATTTGTACGTGGATACATCCTGTGTCTGTGTTAATCTCATAAGTGGCAACCTGATTTAATCTTCGAGGTGCCACATATAGTACGTTGAATACGATTTGGCTACCTAAGTGAAAAAAATAACTATTAGGCATGATTGAAACAATTTGATTTGAATAAGATAATTTATATAATATATAAACTTATGATATCTAAGGTTTCATAAGTTTATAATCATAATATTTGTAACTATAAATATTTTTCTTCCTTTAATTTGTTACCGTTAGTTTAGTAGACACTAGTGAGAAATATCATTAAATTTAAACAATTAAATTTTTGGGTTTGTTGGTTGGTTATAAACTTACATTATGGGGTCGGCACGTAGATCACGTTCTCAGGTCAGACGTAAGCGACGTTAATCATGCTCGTAAGCGTTATGTAAGCTCATCAACATCAATCAATTCTTATAAGCTCTAGTACTCCTGATCGTCGTAGTAAGCAAAGACGCCATGATAGGCAAAAACATAAACGGTCCCCATCAACCGTTGTCGAAACCACGATCATAAATCTCGACATAGTAATGACCATCGATCTCGAGGTAGAAATCGTAATAGAAGCGTTTCAATAAGAACTCCGCCGTTGCCCAGGGTTCGAACAGTGTCACCACAGATAAGGATTAACTTAAATGATATGCCTCATAACGTTACAAGTGTGAACCCCAGTCCCTACGTTATGTTATGGAACCACCAGTTACTTCAGGTTAGACAAGCAGCTCAATGGCCGTTCCTGTTACTCCTATTGGAGGACAAATGTGGTCTAATAGTATAACGGCAAATTTTAATGTTATTCCGGAATTTGATCCTTCTGTTGATAGCCAAAGCATTGAATGGTGGATTCATAAAGTGAGCGAATGTGCTAAAATATAATCGTGGGATGATAGACAAATATGTCATTTTGCGTTACCCAAATTAACGGGCGTTGCTAAGAGGTGGATTTTCCATCAAATGAGAATTATGGACTTACTTACGAAAATGTCAAAGTTCAGTCCCTTGATGAATATTATTATGACAAAATTGCTTTACTAAATAAGTGTGAAATTACAAACAGCCTTTCTGTTGGATGCATAATACACGGTATTGACGATAAATTTGTACGCATGGGTGCAAGTGCATGCATGTTCGAAGAACCCGAAAAACTGTTTTCTTACTTGAGGACAAATGCTCGTAGCGCGACCCACTTGCAAAAAGGAAAATTATCAGAAACATTACAGTCACGGAGTAGTAAAGTTACAAACTCAACTGACCCAATGAGAGGCTCTGAAGGCATAATATGCTGTTGTAAAATGTCCAAAGCCTCCCGAAAAAATGTGGTTTTTGAAATCGTTTTGGTCACATAACCAGAGATTGTCGCAAGCGACCTTCTAGTTCCAGTACTTTTACTGGTTTTTGCGTTACCCAAATTAACGGGCGTTGCTAAGAGGTGGATTTTCCATCAAATGAGAATTATGGAGACTTGCTTACGAAAATGTCAAAGTTCAGTCCCTTGATGAATATTATTATGACAAAATTGCTTTACTAAATAAGTGTGAAATTACAAACAGCCTTTCTGTTGGATGCATAATACACGGTATTGACGATAAATTTGTACGCATGGGTGCAAGTGCATGCATGTTCGAAGAACCCGAAAAACTGTTTTCTTACTTGAGGACAAATGCTCGTAGCGCGACCCACTTGCAAAAAGGAAAATTATCAGAAACATTACAGTCACGGAGTAGTAAAGTTACAAACTCAACTGACCCAATGAGAGGCTCTGAAGGCATAATATGCTGTTGTAAAATGTCCAAAGCCTCCCGAAAAAATGTGGTTTTTGAAATCGTTTTGGTCACATAACCAGAGATTGTCGCAAGCGACCTTCTAGTTCCAGTACTTTTACTGGTGTAGGTGAGCAAATGCAACAATTGGATCAAACGGGAACGATCAATAAAGATAGTACTTTGTATTGATAAATCAAATACTTGTGCAAATAAAAAGTTTTATAAAACTATAAAGATTTAATGGCGTCAGGTCCCCATACATAGATTTAGGGAGTAGCTGCTCTTTGATCCGAGAATTTGATGCTAGGGATATACTGACCGAATGGGAGGTTCCGTCTAATTTACCTAATTTACAAGGCTTTGGCAATTCCATCGTTAAAGCTTTAGGATTTAAAAAAGCTATGGTCGAGAAAGATGGAGTGGCTTCGGAAGTCGATCTGATTGTAGTCTCTGATCATTACATGCACGTACTCGTTATTATTGGCCACACCTACACTGAAAAACCTAACATAATAATATACAAGTCTAGCAGCGTGTTGCGAGATGGTGGATTTCTATGCAGGAATACGATTTTGCAATCGAATATAGACCTGGTAATAAAATGGCTCATGTAGACGCATTAAGCCGGAATCCTATAAGAACTGAGGTGGTAAATAATGAAAACAGAATTGACGTACTCATCGTAAATAATGATGCTTGGTTAGGAACGGTACAGTCGTCAGATACAAAATGACAGCATATGGTAAAAATATTGCAAGATCATGGAAGTGAGCATGTTGTTGAAATTAGGAATAATTTTACATTAAAAAATGGCAAGCTTTATAGAATCGTCAAAAAGAACGATACCGTAACGTTACTCTGGCTGGTTCCTAAGCCTGTAAGATGGCAAATACCAAAAACGAATCATGACAATAACGGTCATTTTGGGTTCCAAAAGACATACGAATGTATCAAAAGGACCTACTGGTTCAAAAATATGAGAAAGTTCACTAAAAAAATATTGCAAGGCTTGTCTAGAATGTGTTCATAATAAAATTCCAGCCGGACCAAGGGAAGGAATGCTTCATCATATTGAAAGGTAAAGCAAACCATTTGACACCATACATGCGGATCATTTCGGGCCATTCCCGTTAAGCAAAAAAGAGGAATCAATAAATATTGGCAATTATTGATTCTTTTACAAAATATATATATCTTAAAGCTGTCCGTGATTGTAGAAGTAAAACAAGTATCCAAATTTTTGAAGAGTACTTTGCATTATTCGGGGTGCCTTAATTACAAACCGCGGTTAATTACAGATCGCGGTATCGGCTTCACTAGTAATGAATTTAGCAAATTTGGAATAAAGAAAAGTTATAGACTGATATTTATATCATATTTTAATGAACATCTCATTTAGTTAGTTAATAAAAGATTACAGGTATATAAATAATTTAAAAAAAATCATAATTGACTTGTTTTGCAGTTCTCGTCAAAATATCTTTCTTGTATTAATAAAAAGTACAGTTTATAGATACAAAAATCATAAGTTTAAGGTTCTTATAACTTTTTGTTATGTGATAATTATATAATGACTGTATGGCTCATTGATCAGTAAATTTGGATACTTGTTGTGATTCTTAGGTTCTAATTCTAGTTGGAGCTAAATATTGTGCAAACACACAAGTTATTTGGTTTATTTAGTTTGTGATTGACCCCATCCTAACCTACTTTTCACTACCCTCATATAATATGTCAGTACCTGGGTGCGAATGTTCTTTGCTCGGTGTTGAGAGAAAGAAATTATTATTTTCTTAGGGATGACTCCTATCTAGACAAACTTGAAAATTTAAAAACATTACCTTAATACAAAATTTGATTTAAATAATTGAAACTGTTTCCAAGAAACCAATTAATTATATATAACAAGAATGAGGGCTAATAATTTTCCACCCTCAATTAGTATTCCAAAATGATCCAATCTCCAGTGACTCAGAGTAGAATTCCTATTAATGCATCCGTGTTCTAAATTATTGTCCCTTTAAGGCCGAATACGAAGAAACTGGCGAAATTTAATGTTTTTCTCTTCACTACAACTTTGACCTGAAGTAATTCTAAGCGTTAAAACATTTTTTGTAGGTTTGTTCGTGTTCGCGACGGCCTAACAACTTTAAGAAACAAAGTAATAAAGAATATTGTTTTTTGTATTGATAATGAAATTACCGATAAAACTGACTGAAAACGTGTATTAATATAGTTGTTTAGCATGTTTATAACTCTTAGTATTTCTATAGAATGTCGTTTTGATAACAAGTAATGTAAACAACTTTTATTATATTAAGAAAAATCGACCAATCACAGCGCGTCTTATCGTAGAACTCTCTAGAAGTTTTTTAATTAACTGCGTAATAGTTCATACTAAAAATAATGAAAATAATTTTATGTTCTAAAAGAGTTGTAAATATGATATTGAATTAGCATATGGCTTATAGATTACAGAAGTGTAGGAATATTTTGTATAATTAAACGCATTTGATAGTTATATAAAAATTAAAGAATTAGTGTACCCAAATATTATGAAAATTTGGGACATTTCGTTTAATAACTTTTTACAATGTTTTGAGTAACCTTTATGATATAATAATAAAGTAACAGACTACCGATTTAATGATGTATAGCATGTTAGTGTAGCAATTCGTTTTGTATAGAGAATATTGCAATTTATGCCATTTGTATAGTGAAAAGTTTATGCAATAAAGAGGCAAAACGGAAAATGGCAAGCGGCTCACTGTAAAGTATTGCTAAAGTCTACCTTAGGGGCTCGTGACCCAGTACCAGTAGTAGTGTGAAGAACTACCAGTGACAAGTGAAGTGAAGTGAGTGGTATCCGGTGGTAGCTGAAGTGACTAGTAGCAGTATATAGTGAATAGTGAAAGTGTTACCTAGCCTAAAAAGGTCGTAACTGATATTCGCAGTACATATAGTGAAAGTGTTAGCTAGCCGAAAAAGGTCGTAACTGATATTCGCAGTTACATATAGTGAAAGTGGTAACTGATACCCGCAGTTACACAAGTGATAAAATCAGCTAGTTTAGTTGATAATAGCTGCTAGTCAGTAGTGTTAGAAAACCAGCTACTACCAATAGATATTTGATACCATCGTACAATTTAAAGAAATCTTTTGAAATATACAGTGACCAACCAATAGTGAACAACCGTAGTTCAACCGTGGTCAATAGTTATAAAATTTCGCGACTAATTAATCAGTCGAACCGCTGGCCACTACCTTGCTATTTGTATTTATTAATCGTGCATTTTGATTATAACCTCAGTCCACTATATTTCAGCAGCACCCACAAAGACGGCGGTGAAAGTACCCACCGGAACCTATAGGTGTAGGACGTGAGCGACTCGCGAAGTATCTTCGACATTTACTCCGGAGAGTTTCGCCCGTCCGGCACAGTTCGGTTCCTTCACAAGGTGCCCGCAGTTTTAAATTTTTAAAATAAATGAATATACCAAAAAATAAAAAAATGTTAAGAAATGATATTTAAAAATGATTGTTCTTCCAAAACTCTGTGAATTTTAATTTAGGAAAAATTCTTTTACGTAAAAATGTTTGTATTGTGATTCCGAAGGTGCCTGCTGTCTTTATTTTCGATACAAAATATTATTTATTGACATAATTCGTTTTAATTAAAAACGCCTAATAATAATATCGTATATTGCCAGATAAAAGTTTGCCGTAATAAATTACCAGGCGCTTTGACGTGTGACGTAAGGTAACAACAGTCGATGTGTCTGTAGCGAAAATCGTTAATTTAGTGTTTTATACGCGTTTAAGGGACTATAAATGTAAATATGGGTAGGAAAAGAAATAAATGTTACCTAAGTGGTAAAACAAAGAGAGTTTATCGCATGAACGCTGCTCGAATATTGTATTTTGAGGTTAATACTTATATTTTTGTAAGGTAATTTTTTGTTTGAGGCTGCCTAATAGGTTGTATTTTTACTCATTTACATTAGACAAACTGATCATTTATACTTTTCTAGTTTCAAGTGAGAAACACTAAAATGTAAATATCAAGACCCAGTCGGAAAAGAATGTACACAATAGTGCAAGCACAGAGACCGCAAATAATGTCATAGTCAATGTATTGTCCGAAAGCATGGGGAAAGTACATAATTAAGAAAAACCGAAATACTTCGGATGTGAAGTGATTGACCAGTCGGAGTAGTCTTATGAGAATTTAATTTTTTAGTTTTTTTTTTCTTTATTATTTATGCAATTTGCATTACGGCATCTTGTAAGACTCACAAGAACAAACATTTTCAGTTATATGAGGTTCTTTACGTACGATGCATCAATTAAGAAAAAAAAACCGTTATCAATTCAATAACTTTTCGAACAATATTTTATAACGAATAAAGTACAGAATTTATAATCTATAGGAACTAATATTATAAATAAGAAAGATTTATTTAAGAAGTAAGCAATGCTCTCTGTGTTGTTTATTACTCTGCATACTGAGCTAGCTCAGTCAAATATAATATAATCAAAGCCCCTACGGCTTTGATTATATTATACATGTCTATATAAACAAAGCGTACGGGCGGCGCGTGGTTTGCTGCGAAACGAGATATGTTCTTGCAGTTGCATCATAATTGTTCTATAATAATGATATATTATAAAGGAAGAGATATATTAAAATAGTAATAAAATACAAGCATACGAGTGAAAAATACAATAGTAATTTATATTATAATTATATTATTTTTTTGGGATGTTATTCAAGAGTTAGCATAACAATTATTATTATGATAACTCCCTTCTGTTGTATATAATCTTTATGAATAAAATAAATAGATAATGCATGAAGATATGAATAATTATTACTCTTTAATGCAATGTACTACGGCATTTATTAGATACAAGAAAGTGAGCCGTTACTGAATTGTATCGGTGTGGACCGTTATGCGCAACGGCACTTCGCGAGTGTGTGTGTGTGTGTGTGGTGTGCGCGGTGGTGCGTGTGTGCGCGTGCGCTGCGTGTGTGCGCGAGTGCGTGTGCGTGCGCGTGTTGTGCGCGTGCGTCTGCGTGTAAGATTTTTAAAGTAAGGTAAAAGGAATGTCGGAGCGACTGACCGAAGTTATACTCGACGATCTCGAACAGGTAGAAGTAGGGGCGGAGGTCGGGCGCGAGCGGCAGCTTGTCGCAGAGCGCGCGGTATACGAGGTCAGCGTGCGCGTGGCGCGGCACGAGCAGTGCCACCACGCCGCCGTCGGGCGCTAGCACCTTGAGCTCCACGGCACCCGCGCCCTCCCCGCTCCCCGCGCCCTCCGCCTCCGTCAGGAACTCCTGCACCGCCTCGCTCTCCGCGATCACGCGCACCGCGCACACCTGCACACACCACATCTCTCACCAAGGCTCCACACACGCACTGCACTACCATGTCCACTATGATCTATCAACCATGCCCATCGATAGAGCATGCACTCGGAAATCAACATCCACACCTTTTTCTGCAACCAACGCGGCGCCATTTTACGATAGAGATTTCCTCTTCATAGGATAAGAGTGAAAAACAGGCACACATTCCACCTGATGGTAAGTGGTTGCTGTAGCCCATAGACATATGCTTCTATCCTCGATTACAAATCAAAATTACAAATGCATTGCCACCCATGAGAACTAAGATGCAATGCCTCATTTTCAGTAAAACGGATCTCCAGTTCTCTATACTTAACATAAGGTCCTTCCCCGGTCGAGCCAAACCATTCGTGCTACAACTATACTACTAATATAGCTGCAACATGGCTCTACCACATATGAATATGTGTGAAATATTTGACAGACTTCAAAGCAAAAAAATTAGGATATATTATTCATAAAATTAAAAATGAATAAACAAAACTACTGATTTTTTTATAAAATACATATTTGATTCTATATGTTTTATTCACTTTTCTATTTTTAATTTAAATATAAAATTTTAAAAGATTTTGTAAGCACACACTAACCAACTGGCAAACAATTTAACAAGAATAATGGGGAATTAAATCAGGAAAACTAAGAACTTAAAAAATACACTAAGAAAGGGAAAGTGCAGACAAATGCGGTTTCGAATCTATTTTAGGAACGTAAATAAGCAATGAAAACCCGGATCCCCTTCTGCAAACCCTAAACATCAATAGTACCGACTCTTTGAAGGCCCGCTTTACGATTGGCTGATCACAATTAATATATACTTTAAAATTACAGCCCATCCCACAAAGAGGGTTTTCGGGAAAAGAAGTATCCGCCGCGCTGTCCCAATGCGTATTAGCTAACTTCACATGTCTTCCAAATATTTTTTCTTATTTCTCAGACATGCAGGTTTCCTCACGATGTTTTCCTTCACCGCCGAGCACGTGGTAAATATATCAGCTAGATCAATAGCTAAACTAACCCCTTTTTAACCAACTGTCTTGTGGACAAAGAATGTTTTTCGAAAATATGTACATATATTTATTTATTAGCAAACTATAATTTAAACAACTTGCCACTTTTAAATTAAATTTTAACAACAGATAAGTGATCTGAGACTATACAAACTCTAAGATACCGATTTTGAAAGCAATAGGTACACCTATTGAATAAAAAGTTCAAAACGGCTGTCACTTTTTGAATTCTAACAACATGCAACGACACAGAGTCAAATATCAAATTTTAAAGCCGTTGGGACAGTAGGTAAAACGTTCAAAATTTCAAACGCTTACTTCGTGCTTGACAGCTGAGAAGGGCACGCTAAAAACTTTTAACGTAGTAAATCCTAGCCTAAAAAGTAAGTTCAACACACGGAACCTATGTAGGATACATATAAGAAAGTCCAGTATGTATATAAAAACGTTGATGCTGATGATGAAGTCCCATAGTAAATATTACTTGCCTTCTCTAAGTACTGCTCTAAACCGCGTCTTCTCGCATCAAGCTGTTGCTCGCTCAATGTGAACGGCCACTTGCCGGGCAACTTGGGAAAGTTAAAGCCTGAAATAATTTAGAAATGATTCAAGTATAAGATCTCCAGACTGAATTTCCGGTCACGGCGGCCTGCCTCAACGGAGGCTAGCCATCGGCGCAGGACGGGATTATAGTGCCCAAGTGTATGCGCAAGCACAGGTGCACTCTCTATTCCCTCACTCTCGTAATCCGATGGGACGGTAAACCGACACGACCGGAGAGAGATCAGGCGCAGGACCAACAGCTTTACGTGCTTTCCGCGGCACGGGGGTGAGACACCGCCAACTTCCTGACTCCGGGCAGCTACTGAGAATTTCTTGACAGAAAAACTCAATAATTGATTTTTTCGAACCCAGGACCTCATGATCAGCAGTCGCACTACTACAACCACTAGACCAACGAGGCATTCAAGATATAAAGAATATTGATTTGTTAATTGAAAATAAAAGATGAGGTACTGAGAGATTTGATGAGAAATAAATAAACTGTTATGCAGAAAAGTTTCAACCAAAGTTACATAAAGAGTAGCCAAATTTTAACTTAAGTTCAAATATATAAATAATGACATAACGTTATTGCAGTTTTTGAAAATACGAGTATAACAATAAGGCTACTTTTCTTTTCTATTTTTTTTCAAATTATCCTAAATTGAATGTGATTATTGGGCAAGAACGTTTTTGCCTACCGATCGATCCTTACGAATGTGTGCGTGCGCAGTAAAATCTGTTAAAATAATGCTTTGAATTTAAAAGATATTAAGGACAGAATGTTTGAGATTTTTCATACCTAATTTTTGTTCATCATTTATATTACTTATTCTGAAACCTTTCTGCAAATTAGTGGATCATAGAATGTAGATTTTCGGCTTACTTATTATTTTTTAGAAGTTTATATATTTGTACTTAGAAATAAAGTAAAAAGAGCCTTTGAATCATTGTTTTGGCCAGTTAGTAGGTAGATCATTTCTGTAAAACTAGGTCTAATTTTAAATGGTTTGATTTTTACAAAAATATATAACCGCCAATATTTTAATTCTTCTGTACGTGTGTTTGTCACTGAACTCTCCTCTTAAACGGCTGGACCAACCTTGATGAGATTTTTTATGTTTTAGTGTTTCAGATTCGCATTAGACCCGGTAGGAGGCTGTTATGTGATTGTGTGGTCTGAGATTCAGAAATTACCCGTGTGAATTCGGGGCTAATCGCTAGTACACTTATAAAAGTAAATGTAAGCAACACAAGAACTCTTTTTCTCATTCATCAGCTCTTAAAAGTCCATAGGTTGCCATAGGCCTCTCCTATTGTAAGGTGGATATGCCTTAATATACTAGTAGAGTCCCTTAGCCGCGGCACCACGGTCTTTGCAAAGTTTTAGTTCGCACATTTTCCGCGGGACTTCTTTCGTGAAACTGACTCTACCAGACGTCTGACCTTTTGGTTCTGCTCCCCGCCGCTGGACTGGGTAATTTCTTTACGTCTTCCACCTATTCAAGAGATAAAGAAGAGATCTTTCAAGCATGTCGCCATTGTCGTCCCTTACGACACCCATGGGACGAAATAGGAAGATAGATCCTCTTAAGTGTTTTTTTTATAGAATAAGGGTGACAAACGAGAACACAGCCCAGCACAGCAAGTTGATACTGTGGCTTAAGAATAAAAATGCACATGCGTTATCACCTCTGAGGACTAAAATGGAATGGCTTGTTTCCAGTAAAAAGGGTCTCCTGTTCTCTACACTCACCTTACGAAACATAGCAGCATTAAGCTGCTATTTCACGCTGTTATTCTGTGAGGGCGGAGTCCTTTCCCAGTCGAGCTAAGCTGCGCCATTCGTGCTACAACTATATAGCTGCAGCTTGACTCTACCATGTATTAATGATTTCTTAAATTTACGCGAACACTACACATTGAATAAAACTAAATTTACGGATTTTTATCACGTTTATTTCACTACTTTTACTTATTTTTAATTCCCGACGTTTCGGGTGCTTTACAGCAACCATGGTCACGGGGGGGACTGAGATGTTTGACGTCCCAATGTCATAGTTAGTCCGGCTACCTTCAGTTTTTGAATATTAATTTTTGGTCCGATTTACGCAAAACGAGCTTATAGTATCATGAAGTCTTGCAGTGGTATGCTTAGGTTTGGGTTTAATTTTGTTAATTATAGGATCCCAAGCAGGTGGCAGCACCCATCCATCTTCTCTATTGAAATTTGGATGTTTTTTAATTTCAATAGCCTCGCGTATCATCCTTGGTAGGAATCGGTGTTCTTTTGCGAGAATTTGTGGTTTATCAAAACGAATGTAATGGTGGGGACGATCTTGAACATGATCGCAGACTGCAGACTTCCCGGAGCGTCGGTGCTTCACGTCAGTGCTAACATATAGCTGACAAAACAAGAAAGAACATATAGCTGACGTGAAGCACCGACGCTCCGGGAAGTCTGCAGTCTGCGATCATGTTCAAGATCGTCCCCACCATTACATTCGTTTTGATAAACCACAAATTCTCGCAAAAGAACACCGATTCCTACCAAGGATGATACGCGAGGCTATTGAAATTAAAAAACATCCAAATTTCAATAGAGAAGATGGATGGGTGCTGCCACCTGCTTGGGATCCTATAATTAACAAAATTAAACCCAAACCTAAGCATACCACTGCAAGACTTCATGATACTATAAGCTCGTTTTGCGTAAATCGGACCAAAAATTAATATTCAAAAAACTGAAGGTAGCCGTAGAAGGGACGTCAAACATCTCAGTCCCCCCGTGACCATGGTTGCTGTAAAGCACCCGAAACGTCGGGAATTAAAAATAAGTAAAAGTAGTGAAATAAACGCGATAAAATCCGTAAATTTAGTTTTATTCAATCTACCATGTATTTCTAAAGTGTTTTTTTTTTGTTTAAAGAACTTTATTTCTTATTAAGACATTTGTTACTTACATGAGTACTATAGTGTTTACAATGATTATAATTCTATTAATAGTGTGGGTATTAAAATATACAGGATGTTAGTGTAAACACCGTTGTCCTTGAAACCAGTGGTTTGGTTTCACTTATAGAAAGTAATTTCAATGAAAAATAACATTTTTTTTTAGTCAAATCTCAATTTTTTCTTACAATTATTTCACCCTAGGCAAGTAGGGATATACCTACAGAATTCACAACAAAAAACTCAACATATCGTAGGTAGCGGCAGCGATTCGCGGTCAAGGCCAATGTCACTGTGTCAGTGTGTCAGTCACCTTCGCTGCGTCGGTACGGAATGTACGTGTTAATTTGATTTAAAACCGCGCCGCGCAGTGCCGACATTCTACGTCGCTTTAGGTTGTAGTTTTGGTGCGAGTGTATTTAATTTGTAATTATGTCCTACATAAACGTGCAGTGGAAATGTGCCTCTTCGTTCACTGAGAAACCTCTACTACCAACATGACGGTGCCCCTGCACATTTTCAGCTGCAAATCAGGGCTATGCTGGTTGAGGAGTTTCCTGGGCGATGAACCGACCTTACCCCGCTGGACTTTTATCTTTGGGGAGAAGTGAAGCGCCGAGTGTATGCAACTAAGTTCCGTAATACGTCCAAACTCAAAAGGCGAATTCTTAGTGTATTTAGAGAAATGACACTGTTGTGCTTCTAGCTTTTACGATTAATGTAAAACCCGATCAAAATGGAATTCATTTACGAGGATTTTATTTAATAGGTAAGTGTAAATAACCAATCAATCAGGCTACACATTAAGCTGTACAAATCCTTTGTCTTGGCCTCGCTTTGTATGATCTTTCCGTACAATGAACGGTCAGCTTATGCTTCAAATGCCCTTTGCGTTCCAGGGCCGCGGTACGGTATACGGTAAATACGTCAAAAATTCTACCTAATGATTTACTATTTACTATTATTAATGTTTAATTTTCTTTGTTGTTAAATCTAACTTACATTAATTTGGACTCGTCACGCAACACAAAGGGTAGGAATTTTTATCTGTCCTAAGCAAGTGTGAAAGTATGAAAGAAGTTTCATGATAGGTTATGTGTACCATTGTGTTTATATTGAAATGTTGTGTAGGTAGCAAGGGCGGGCGGTGATCTTTACAGTGATTACGTCACTCGAGCGCATAGGGTATCCATGAATTTACGGACGGTGTCGGACAGAAACTTTTTTAATTTTATAAAAGAAAATAGCGTTTTTTTTTTAAAAAAATATCGGATAAATATTTTTATATTAAAGCCAACCACCTATGGTTTCAGTGACAACGGTGTTTACACTTACACACTGTATATCGGTCGATCGTCAACCACAAACGAGTTCATTGTTTTCCTATCTAACTCTAAGGTGTTGGTCTAAATTAATTTTAAAGCATAGTTTCATAATTATAAATATATTAAAATAATCTTCTTTTAAAAATATTGTATTTCATTTTCCTTCAATATCTTACCCAAGAACTCCTTCCTCAATTGCTGATGTAGTGCAGCGAACTCCCTGTAGCGTCTGCTGCAGAGGTGCCTCCCAGCCATGTGCACGTTGAACACGACGTACGAGCGGCCCGTGGAGCGCTCCACCAGCACGCGATAGTCCGGTATGGAGACGGGCAGCGAGCGCTTGTCCGTGTAGTCGTAGCGCTGGTACACCGTCGCCCGAGAGTTGGCCGCCCCTCCGATTACACCCACGGGGGCAGAATCGTCGCATGGCTCAAGACGTTCCGCCTCCTGGGAACGGGGGTTAGGAGGTGTAAAACTTACTAGAACAGGCAAAGCGAACAATATCTGTGCAGCGGCGCAGAGCGCGTGGAGGCACACGGTAACGTTTTATGGCACATACTTATAGTAGTCTGTTCGCTAAGATAGTGTCGGTACACCCGGAGGCGCACTTATTATTTTGCTTTTATTTTATCATTTTTCCTATGTTTTTTGAATAATATTTTATCTATTCTAAGAATGAAAGAGAATACTATTTGATTCTTATGGTTATTGTAATAAAATACGAATATAAGTAATAAACACAAGTTAGGTAGAAAAAACTTTTATTACGGCGCTTTGTTTTTAAGTGTCAAATTTTCCGGCGGTTGTACGCCGAACGCTGCAAGCTTCGATGTCGCAGCGGCGCCTTTGACATAATGCGGCACATGCCAAGGCGGCGCGTCACAAAAGCGATCGTATCTAAGCGAACAGACTACACCTTTGAATACGCGTTAGAGCTCACGGGAGCTCTAACGCGTATTGCAAACAACCAAGACTCGGCGTCTCTTGTAGTGCGTAGTACATATTCATTCATTAACGCAAAGAATCGTCACATGCTGCCAGGCGTCCTGCCTACTGCCAACGGGAGTTATGAAGGTAATACGCAACGAATCGTCGGGTAGCTCCAAGCGTTCCGTCTCCTGCCAACGATGTTTATTATTGTAGGCAACGAAACAAGGTACTTATATTGATTTATATTTATTTAAATTCTATTTCAAATATTCTACAATAGTCATCGGGATGTATGATAAAAGGGGGTGTCCCTCAGGGATCGATACTTGGTCCTTTTTTGTTCTTAGTTTACGTAAATGATCTTCCATGTATGGTACAACAAATGATTGCTAATGATACTTCATTATTATATTTGATGTTAAAAATACGATTTTGACCTACAACAGCCTAGCCAAATACTGAATATTGTTATCAAAAGGTTTGCAGCAAACAATTTGCTTCTAAACTTAGAAATAATATTATGTTTACAATTTACACTACCTTTCACTGTCGTCGCGGAATGTTGCTACTATAATTAATTTATTACAAAATATTAATTTATATTTTGAAAGTTCAACAGTATTTCTAGAAATTCTTTTGATTCCAAGCTTCAACAGGTGGGTAAGAACTTTAAATATTGGTAAACTAGCTTCGGAATTTAGTTCTGCAACTTTCTGATCAAAATGAAGCAACAGACAAAATAGTCTACTTAGCTTATTTTCACAGTAGCATGTACTACGGTGTAGGCTAACAAAATTTAAAAAATTGGAAAAAAAAAGGGGGGGGAACAAACCACGGAACTTCTATGATAGGTGCCTGGCCACAGCAATCAGCAACCACTTTTTGAACTAAGTATTGAGGTAGATTAGGCTAGATTAAATGGCGATGAACCATAATGATGTTTTCAGCAAGTAATTTATTTATCAGTAACAATGCTACTACTCGATTTGAATTTAGTTTCTTTGCATTGCACAACATAAAGTGTTGTCAAAGATCCAAAATATTTGTGTCTTTGAATAACAAAAAAGTCGCTTAAGGCTGGCGTGGGTGGGGTTTTGTAACAGATCTATCAACTGGCAATGATACATCAGACATTTTGTGTTGTAATCTTTAATAGAATATGTGTATAAAGAGCCGTTCTGTGAATGCTTTAACTATAATTATAAAATTTATTGTACTGATAAAATACACCAAGTGACCTGCGTGCCATGAGTCTACTGTTGACTCATTGCATACGCGTGAGTCAACCTCAATTTCCCTAAAATTATCGACTTACAGTATTCTTGTATATTTATATTTTCAAAGTGACCCAGTCACGAAAAAGTTAATATGTGGTAGGCTGGCATGGTATAGACTTATGCTAAGAGAAGTAAACTATGTAACTAGAAGAATGTTCGGGATGAAAGTGGGTGGATATAAGAGTAGAGGAAATCCTAAGAAAAGATGGATAGACTGCATTACGAATAACATGCGCAAGAAAGAAGTGCGTGAAGAGATGACTGCTATTAGAAAAAAATCGAAGAGGAAGGCATGCTATGTCGACTTCAAACAATTTGGGAGAAGAGCAGGAAAAAGAAGAAAAAGGGTTTTCCCATATATACAAAATCATATGCAGGTAATATTTAATATCATAAAGTAACATTGTATTAAATAAGTAGTGGCAGTGTAAGAATATTTATTACCCCAAATCGTCCCGTAAGGGTGTCCTGAGAGACGATAGATGGAAACTGAAACAGGAGATGAGCAGCAGCAGCATCTTCCTGATAACAGCTTGAAATAATAAAAAACCTGCGTTTGCCCATCCGCCTGGCAAGCGTGGCAACTACGACAAAATTCTAATATTTTTTTTTATGGGATAGGGTGACAAAAGAGCACGCAGAAGATAAACTCATAACTTGTAATTAATAAAAGAACTCACCTATTTACATACGAGCAAAATTATTTAATTTTTTTATAGTATAAGGGTGACAAACGAGCACACAGTCCACCTGATGGTAAGTGGTTGCTGTGGCCCATAAATATCTACATCTATCCTCGATAACGAATCAAAAGCTTCTCCACTCGGATCGTGCCCAGTGTGGACGTCTGTTAAGAGTTGATTCCACGCTACGTATTTATTGTATTTATTATTACTTAATGTAATCTTTGATTTAATTGAACACAAAAATAGGAGAACATAAATCGACGGGAGTTCTTTTTCTGCAACTAGCAAGTAATCTGTAGTGTGCGTGCATAAAATCTTGAAAATTCTCGGAGCGTGTGTGTGAGTGACTCAATAAAAGTGTACAATCAATCAAGTATCAAGTGGGAACGAGAAGTCCGTCATGTTAACAGCCTGGAGTAAGGAAACTGGCGGTATTTCGCCCCGTTCCTCGGAAAGCAAGTAAAGCCGTTGATCCTGCGTCTGATTTCTCTCCGGTCGTCGGATTAACGTCTCATCGGGCTATGAGAGTGAAGTAATTGAGAGCGCACCTGTGTTTGCGCATACACCCGTACACTAGATATCGATATACTAATACTATGTTACGCTGATTAGTCTTGATAAGTCAGTCGAGAGAAGTCTCCGTTTGAACTGACAATTGTGACCGACATTCGGTCTAGAGCTTAAATTTTCTTGTAAGCTCACTGCTTTAAACAGAAGAGAAAAGAAAGACTGAAAATATGGAAAGATATTAAATCAATGAAGAAGTTTTTGCATCATCACTTGCCACATCATAAAATCATCACACAACATTAAGCAATAATTTTCAAGTAGACTGTATAGCTTACCTTCTGCGTAACAGAAATAACCGTTAGAGTGAGGCAGTCACCACCGGACTTGATCAAGTCAACCACTTGCTTGTGGGTTGCGCCTTCAACGTTCACCCCGTTCCTGAAACCAAGAATTTATCTAATGTATCTAATAGTATAAGCATCTTCTACTGTAATCACCATTCATCATCATTATTACGGTCCATTACAAGGGTTTTTTTAAATATGGAATAAGGGTGACAAACGAGCACAGTCCACCCGATGGTAAGTGGATGTTGTGGTCCATCATCATCATCATCATCATTATTACAGCCCTTCACAATTCCACTGCTGAACATAGGCCTCCCCCAAGGTATGCCACAAAGCACGGACCTGGGCCACCTGCATCCATCGACTTCCTGCATGTCTTACCAGGTCGTCACTCCATCTAGTGGGGGTCACCCTACACTTCGCCTACCGGTACGAGGCTGCCACTCGAGAACCTTTTTTCCCCAACGGTTGTCGGTTCATCGAGCCTCCAACGACGATGATGATTATGTAAATATAATTGTGGCCCATAATCATTTACATTTATCCTCTTAACAATCAAAATGCAGATGCGTTGTTACGGTTGAGTACTGAGATGGAATGCCTGGTATCCGCCTCCGGTTCTCTACACTCGCCATACGAAACGCAGCAGCATTAAGCTGCTATTTTACGCTATGTATAATAATTATACCAGTGGCTTCTTCAAAATACATTTGAGTCGGTAAATGAGTTTTTAATTACTGATGAAAACTTTTATAGGACTATAGCTCATAATTGACATTTTTATTATTAACTGACATGTGTATAATATTGTTAAATTCGTAGACAGAGAAACCTATAGACTAATGATTAGCGTGGCATTGAGTGAGAAAGGACGATAACGTAGTTTTAGGTTATACAATAATCTTCATGACTTTTAAACATATTAAGATAAAAAATTTAATTGTTCTAAGAACTGAACTGAACAAGATTCACCAATCTTAAGCTCACAAAACACTTTTTTCTCACTTAAACCAACTTGTAAACTCCTAAGATCGCTACGAACTGTCAAAGTTGTTTAGCAAAGTGTAGTTTGCTAAATAATAAAACCGGCACGGAGAAAGGGACAAACAATCATACCGCTCTGTCTCATTTCTATGCAAGGCGTATGCATAAATCTATCTTTTTTGTGTGCGAATGTGAAAGAAGGCGTCAATTTGTCTGTAGGTTTCTCTGTCTACGGTTTAATTTTTCTTTTTTTTTTAATTACACTTTTGACATCTTTATGTAATTGGATGATTGTTTGTTGTTGCTGATTTAATGATTGATTTTGATACGTAAGTTGTGAAACTAAAATTTCCATCAATAAAGAAATTTGCATATCTCCGCGTTAAGGACTTAGTATGTAATACATAGTATTTAATAGTATCTCATTTAACACATACTAAAAAACAAATAAATAAATAAATTTGATATCATAAGACCTATCGAACGACGAGCAGTGAAGGACAACACGCACTAATTGTACACTTTCATCTTATGATTCTAAGAATTAACGGATTAGAAGATTTGTCGTAGTTTACCAATCGTAGCCCAACCGAGTTAGATTCGTGGGCACATACATATTACATACATAGCGTATCAAATACATAAATTGAACGTGACAAATATAATGTATCACGAGATCACGACTGCCTCAACTCAATTGGCTAGTAGAAAACTTACTATAATCATTCATTTAAATTGAACATATGCTTACATGTCACTGAAAACAAATTGATGGAATAAAATCGATAGTGACGTGACAGTAATGGTAATTCAGCCAATTGATACACAATAATCAGAAATGGCGTCAACATCATTGTAGATTAAAACATCAATTTGTTTAAATGACAATGGTTTAACATTCCCGGGGAAAAACTTCTAGGCAGAATACCTACCACCTAGTGGTAACTTTAATATGACCGGGATTAAAAATACGTTATACGTGGTAGAGCCACGCTGCAGCTAAGTTATGGTTGAAGCATAAATGGGTCGGATCGACCGGGGAAACACGGTCACACGGTGCTTCGTATGACGAATGTAGTGAACCGGTGACCCTTTTTACTGGAGACGAGGCATTTCATCATAGTCCTCAGGGATGACACAAAGCATTTTGATTCTCAATTTGGGATAGATATAGATGTCTATGTGCCACAGCATGCGTTATCCATCAGGTCGACTATGTACTCGTTTGTCATCTTTATTCTATGAGTTAATCACGATATGGTAGGTCAGTGTGCCCTATTTGATTTAAATCCGTTGCTGCCTCGTATTGCACTTCGGTCCAATATAATTTATTGGGTTTTTAGGTCAAGTAATTCTCAGTAGGAGCTCAGACTCAAGGAGGTGACGGTATTTGATCCCCGTGCCTCGGAAAGCAAAGCTGTTGGTTCTGCCTCTTGGTCGGTTCCGGTCCTTCTTTTGGGTAAGTTAGAGTCGTGTGTGCGTGCGCAACACATTCGTGCATAATGCGCAATGCTTAGCCATTTACGCATTATCATTGGCCGTTACTTTGGACATTGCGAAGGCCTTCGATCGGGTTTGGCACAAAGCGCTTCTTTCGAAGCTCCCTTCCTATGGGCATCCCGAGAAATTGTGCGATTGGATCACCAGCTTTTTTGCATATCGGAGCATCAAGGTCGTTGTTGACGGTGCAAGCTTCGATTGCAAGCCTATTAATGCTGGTGTTCCACAAGGCTGCGTGCTATCGCCAACGCTGTTTCTTCTGCATATCAATGATATGTTGCAAACCCGTAACATTCATTGCTATGCAGATGACAGCACTGGTGATGCTCTGTATACCGGCAGTGCCAATATTTCTCGGGAAAACGTCTCCAAGTACCGGGACAAACTTGTGTCTGAAGTCGAGTCTCTGCTGAACAGAGTCTCGGATTGGGGGCGACCAAATCTAGTCCAGTTTAACCCCCAGAAGACACAAGTTTGCGCGTTAACCGCTAAAAAGAACCCTTTTGTCGTATCTCCTCAGTTTCAAGGCACCCCCCTCGAGTGATCGCATCGAGTGACGTGCAGTTTCGTGGTCACTTGGAAGAGAAGGCCAAATTGGCCTCTAAAAAACTTGGCGATGGCGTGCTCAGCAGAGCGAGACAGTATTTCATGCCGGCACACCGTCTGCAACTTTACAAGGCGCAGGTTCGGCCGCACATGGAATACTGATCTCATCTCTGGGCTGGGGCTCTCCAGTGGCAGCTCCTTCCACTTGACCGCATCGAGCGCAGTGCGGCTCGAATCGTCGGCGACCGAGTGCTTTCCGATCGGCTCGATTCACTGGCGCTGCGAAGAGATGTTGCATCTCTTTGCATTTTCTTTCGCATATACCATGGGGAGTGCTCTGAGGAATTGTTCGGATTAATCCCAGCCGCCAAATTTCGTGAACGCACTACGCGGCAAACGTCCCGATACCATCCACAGCATCTGGATGCTTAGCGGTCCACCACTGTTCGTTTCAAAAGGAGTTTTCTTCCGCGTACAACCTCTCTGTGGAGTAGTTTACCACCGGCGATTTTTCCGGACCGATACGACCTGGGGACCTTCAAGAAAAGAGCTTACTCCTTTCTAAAGGGCCGGCAACGCACCTGCAATTCCCCTGGTGTTGTGGTTGATCATAGGCAGCGGTAGTCACTTAACATCAGGTGAGCCGCATGCTCGTTTGCCCGCTTTTCTATAAAAAAAAGGTCTACATATATATTATTTGTCCATGTACAATGTATGCACGTAAAATGCTTTCACGGTACTAGAGAAAGGGTTTTGATAAAGATTTCTCAAATATATGATTTATCTATACTCGTATAAAACACAAATAAATTTTCTACCTATGTCCGTTATAGACTGAAATCATCCAACCGTTTTTGATGAGCTTTTTTGTGTGTAATTGAATGGAAATGATAATGGTCTCTAGTTGGTATATATTCACATTTGGAACCGGTAGGTGGCGCTATTCTCGAGATCCAGAAATCACCCGCGCCAAGCCGGGGCAGATCACTAATATTAGAATAGACTATAACAAAACAAACGCAGTAGAGAGTCTTTGACGCGAAAGAAGTCTAGCCGCGGCGCTAGTTTTCGCAAAATTTATAATTTACCATCAAATTCAATACTTCACATTTTCGTTCGCATATTTTAAAGTATTTATTTATTGAAACAAACGATAGTTTAAGCTATAGACTATTTATAAACTATATTGTGTAATAAGACGGTACAAAGTTATATCAAAATTACATTTTAATTTCTGTCTCCACCCACTATGACTTATGACACATAAAAACTGTAAACTTCTTTCCCTGATTTAAATGAATACCACGTTTAGGAATCCATATTTAATCTAAATAATATAATTGAAAAATATACCCGAAAACACTGGCTATGAGTTGGCCGGGCGCCGCCAAATCGTATATCTCGAAACCGGTGTTGGGGCAATGATAAAAACAGTACCGGAACTCCCCAGCACCTCCCCACTGCACTGACATGATAGCAACAACCTCGAGTAAACTTCGCTAAGCATTGACACGGGATTTTGCACTAAACAACACAAAGGAAACTCTTTCATATATGTATATAAGAAAATCGATCACATAATAAAAACTTGCTTGCAAGAAATTAAGCGAAATAAGCAAACCTACTTGAGACACTTGTTATGAGGTGGAGGTTTAAAATGTAATTGAATTGAGCGCTATATTAAAGATGAGCCTTCTATTTATATAATATACAATCTATTAGTGCGACGTTAACAAAGAAATCGATTGCTCGTGAATGTCGACGAATTAGACGCGAAATTCTTAGTTAAGTTTTTTTTAGAATTATGGTGACAAATGCGTACACAGTCTATCTGGTGGCAAGTGGATGCTGTGTTCGTATGTCTCTATACGCGAACACGCTCCGTATCATTGCGCGAGTTTTTTTTTTAAATGTATTTTACATCCTATACGCGAACACGCTCATTGACTGTGTTTATAACAACGTATAAAAAAATAAAAAACGTCGTCCCATGACAGAGACAAAGCGTACTCAAATTTTTTTTTTTTTTTTTTTGGCTCTTTTTCCGGTTTCTTGGGCTGTTTTCTTTTATAATTATACTGCCAGAGTGTATGCGCAAGCACAAGTGCACTCTCTAATCCCTCACTCTCATAGTCCGATTAAATGGAAACCACGACCGGAGAGAGATCAGGCGCCAGACCGGGCTACGGCTTTGCGTGCTTTCGGATACACAGGAGAGGGGGAGGGGAGGAACACCGCCAACTTCGTGACTCCGGGGTGCTACCGAGAATTTCTTTACAAAAAACTCAATAACTCGACGAAGAACTCAATAACTCGGATTCGAACCCGGACCTCACAATCAGCAACCGCGTTTACGAGCACTAGACCAAAGAGGCAGTCAGACGATCGCAGCACAAGACGTATCGCACCTTTAACGATGTTGCCAGTCGCCGGTCTGGTGTAAACAAGATAGTATGCCGCCATTAATCGAAAAACATATGAATTCTCAAATTTTCCATGGTCGCGTTATAAGTATAAAATCTCCAATGTCATAATCGTCAAGTTCTCATTTAAATTGCAATTAGATGATTCAACTGCCAAAAAATGGTAAAAACGATAAGTCTTACAAGGTTAGGAGATGTTTTAAGGCTAAAATTGTAATAAATGCAAAATAGTGACGACATAAGATATCAAATGAACTCAACATGAAACACCTCAGTCCTGTGACCATGGGTGTTATAAAGTAAAATAGAATAAAACTATTTATACGGACTTTATCGCGTTTAATTAACTTATCGGGCCGATTAACATTCAAAAACTGAAGGCAGCTGGGTTAACTATGAGATTGGGACGTCAAATATCTCAATTCCCCCCGTGACCATGAGTGCTGTAAAGCACCTGAAACGTCGGGAATTAAAAATAAGACGTAATTAAACGCGATAAAATCCGTATAAATAGTTTTATTCAACGTGTGGTGTTCGCGTAAATTTAAGAAATCATTAATTAAAAATAGGATAAATTTAACGCGCTAAAGTCTGTAAAATATGTTTATTTATACGTGGTAGAGCCACGCTGCAGCTATATTACTGGTATAGTTGTAGCACGAATGGGTCGGCTCGACCGGGGAAGGACCACGCTCTCATAGAATACCAGCGTAAAATAGCAGCTTAACGCTGCTGTGTTTCGTATGGTGAGTGTAGAGATCCGGAGACCCTTTTTACTGGAAACTAGACATTCCATCTTAGTCCTCACGGGTTACAACGCATCTGCATTTTGATTCGTAATCGAGACTAGATGTAGATGTCTATGGGCCGCAGTAACCACTTAGCATCAGGTGGACTGTGTGCTCGTTTGTCACCCTTATCCTATAAAAAAAAATATAATAAAAAGATATCAAACTTATATAGTAGGTCTAAGACACACGGAAGAGTATTATCTGCCATTTCAAAAGAAGATTGTCAAATCATAAATGAAATGAATGATTTTTTTATTCAATACAGAGTATTGCTTACTTATTGGAAGTCATATTTTTTATTTACTACTGGTTCGGATAAAACCTCCGTCCTGCGAATAACCAGCAAAAAACCCATAGAGCGGATATTTGCTACAGTTGCTACGCTTGGCAACTGACGTTTTTTTTTTTATTCACCTTTAATCAGGAAGATGCTGTTACACTGGCATGGCATCACCTGGTAAGGGTAGTGGATATTTATACCTCCACGACATCGTTATGAAGTGCCAAAATTAATATCTATCAAAGGTATTGTTTTGGACCATCGCAATCTCTATTGATGTCATAAACGCTAAGTTTTAATCTACTGTCGAAAAGTATGCAGTTTACATTAAAATACCTTCGCCATTTCTATATTGAGCTTGTTAGGAATGCTGTACCTTCAATTAGCAGGACTAAGTGAAATGGAACAGCGTTAGTCGTAAATTAAAGCAAAGTCCAGCGTAAGGCAAAAGTCATTATAGAATCGCTCTTACACTCGGACCTAAGCAGATAATCTAAGTTGTTTTGAACAAGTTTCCTTGAATATTTTTAATAGTATCATTCCAAAAACACAGTATTTTGCTAATTAGCTATATTTTTATTTATTACATACATACATAAACACTCACGCCTGTCACCCAGAGGGGTTGGCAGAGACTACAGACTTCCATTTGGCACGATCCTGACACACCTTTCTCGCATCCTCCACATACATATACTAACGCATTTTCTGGATTACTTATTTATTATTATAAGTGTAAACAAATTAATGTTTTGAATACGTTTATTGCATACAAATTATAAAAACTGGAAGGGAAATAAATAAAACAAAAGCACAGGTCGCGAGCAATCACGCAGCACCTACGAGTATTAACCGCTGACCCTATTTGAGATAAACAAGTGGATTATCACACGTTAACGCCACTACCTTTTGCATATAACCGACGGTTTAGATTAAACTTAATTAAGGAATACATCGAGAAGGCCAACGACTATTGTATGAAGTAAACAAGGTAAAACTAATGTGCATCTATAAAAACGTTTATAGTCTTTATTCCGGTTTTATACAAACGTTAAAAACTTAGGATAATACAATGGCTAAATATATTTTTATATTACTCACGAACGTTACACATTAAATAAAAAAAACCACCAAACCAACCATTCACGGATTTTACCGCGTTATTTTTACCTGCCTGATAATCTGATAAGACTGCAGCTTCATTTTCCGTCTAACAGCCATGAGATTAAGAGTGTGATCGGAGAGTTTTTGTATTCTTCTGCGGCCAATCTTGCAAAACTTAGCTCTGACCGCATGGACCATTTCCACGAGCTTATCATTCATATCGTCCCCTCCATTGCAGTCTTTAAGGCACTGAAAACGGTTTTGTGACTCGAGCTGAAAGGTTTCGGGACTTTGGATTATAGCACGAGGAGGACAGAGCGTTGACTTCTTTAGACGAGACCTCTTCAACTTAACGTTTAGGTTCAGTGTGCCTTTAACCATTCGGTGATCGCTGCCAGTTTTCACCCTTGCGATCACTGAGACATCACTGAACAGTTGCCGTCTCGTCGTCATAATAAAGTCAATCTCATTTTTTATCGTACTGTCGGGCCTCGACCAGGTCCACTTTCTGTGGAGCCGCTTCTGGAAAAAAGAGTTCATTATAAACAGTCCCTCTTTCTCCATGAAGTCGGCCAGCTGCTGGCCCCTTGTGTTCCGTTGCCCTATCCCAAATTTACCTACCGTCAGCTCACCTTTCTTCCTTTTGCTTAGTTTTGCGTTGAAGTCTCCCATTAACACCGTATAGTGGGTTTTATAAGAATGCATGGCTCTAGAAATATCATAGAGAATATCTAGAAATGTAATAGATGTTGGTGCGTAGACCTGTATGACCCTGGATACCGTTTGGTGATTCTTTATATAAGGTACGCAACCTTCGTCGACACACTACCAATCTTTACAAGGTTGTTAACGAGAGACTTGTGGACTATAAATCCAACACCTCCTTGGGACAGATGGTCGCCCTCCCGGTGATAGAACAAGTTGCCGGATTCGTGAATCACCGTGTCCTCCTCCTCTCTTCGGACCGCGGATGATCCTTTAATATTCAAGCGCAACTTGTCTATCTCTTCTTCCAACTCCAGGATCTTCTTGGTAGTCCTCAGAGTGCGTTCGTTGTTTGTTGCCAAGTCAAATCGTCTTAGCCTTTACCATGGTCGCCACCTAGCCAGGAATAGCGCGGCTGCCGTGGAACTGGGGGCCGTTTACTTGTGTCATTGCACATGGGGGGGTATTTCCATAGTTGCCACGCTTTACGAGTGGGTTGTCAACTACAGTTTTTTTTGTTGTACAATTGATGTTATCAGGAAGATGCTGCTGCCCATCTCCTGCCGCCTTCCCTCTGTCGCCTTTTACGACACCCACGGGGATTCTTAACCGCCACTACACGGCAGTCATTTTTAGCTTACTTATAAAAACTGATGCAAAATATAAAAACTTGTATGCGAGCCCGTGTGTACTCAAAAATATTAGTATTCCTACATCCCTTGGAAGGGAAGCACTTTAAAGATGTTCCTTTAACTGATTCTGAAGAGCTAGGTTAAGAATTGGTACCCACATTTTAAACATAATATTACGTTTTTAATTAAATACTTGACTGATAATAAATAATAATACAAATATGATAAAGATGTTTTATTTTCTCCGAAGATGAAATACAGTAATATAGGAAATCCAAATCGAATGAGTCTCATAACGTTAAGCAAGGTCCGAGACAATACATATAAATAAGCCTAAAATACTCATTTTTTTCGGTACCGAAATTATTTCGGTAAAGGTATTGGTAAAATATAGGTATAACGATACCGTAAAAAAAATATAGGTATAATTATTTTTTAACGGTACCACAACCGTAATTCTCAACCGTTTTGGTTCTACCATTAAATCGAAGCTGTATCGTAATTCTATACCGGTACCATACCCTTATACGTTTACCGCTTTCAACTATGTCGATTTATTATTATAGAAAATACTTTTATTAGTATTTATACTGAATGACCTTTTTTACCGTCTAGAAAAAAATTAGGGTGTAACATGTGAACGAAGTAGAAGCCTATGGCACTGATGTTTTACAAAAATAAAAACAAAAATTTTGAATTAAAACGTAAAATGACAAGGTCATGATGCTTACTAAATTTATTATTTTATTGCCGTTCGTAAAGTAGGGTGGATATTATTTGAATTTCGATAGATTTTTATTTATTTATTTAATTCAACATTTTTGTTTTAATTTTCTGAACATTATCAGTGCCATAGGCTCCTACTTTGTTCACATGTTACACCTTATTTCTCTCCCGACGATAAAAAGGTCATCCAGCATATTAGTTCATATTTTGACAAACGTTGCAAATTTTTTTTTCTTTAAGCAATTAAAGAAGTTCTACCCATACATCCATTACAGCCTAGAAAAGTCCACTATTAAACATAGACCTCCCTCAAGAGATTATGTCATAGTTTCACGCTTGGCAAGTGAGTTCGTTACCAGTTCGAACCAGTTTTTTATTACTTTGAGTTATTAGGAAGATTCTGCTACCCATCTCCTGTTTCGTGTTCCCTCTGACGCATCTTACGACACCCTCGGGACGATATAGGGGGTAGCGAATATTCTTACATCGCCTCTAAACGGTAGAGAGATTTTTGGAATTTTTGACTGTCGATGTCGATTAAGGTAACTGTACCAGTCTTGGTAAGCGTTCTATTGATGGTCAATTTCGAAAAAAAAAACGGCAAAATAAGAAAACTAAACGTTGTAGGGAAAATGGCAACATTTAGTGATAAACCATAGATACTCAGCTTGTGAAAAAATGACGTTTGTCATTTTGACACGTGACATTTGCAACATGGCGGGCCCTTGAACAGAATGCGGTGGTGAATTTATATAATTAGTGTTATTTTTGATAAGGTTGGTGAGTACTTCTGTTTATTATTTTATAATTATATAAGGGTTTTGAGATATTTCTTTGTTTTGATACTTAAGGTAACATACCTGTGTGATGAATGACACCAAAAAATGCACATATTTCTGTTTTGTAGACTTCTTAAACTGAACTGACCATTACTGGAACGTCGATTTATGATATTTCCAATGATGGTCAAATTGACCATGATGGGCACAATAGGGTTTTTAGCTTTTTTCATAAAATTTAGAATGTTTATCCACAGAAACGAGTTCAAATTTTATCAGCGCCTCGTTTGAACATACCGGTCCAGTAATGGTCATAGTTACCATTATTGGGGTGACCATGACTGGATCACAGACCATAATGTTTGCATTATAATGGAGTATTATATATTTTTTTTGCTGTTATACAATTAAGTTTTTATCCTTTATACACGACTGTCCAAAAAAGGGTGTATTGTTTTGCAAAATAGATATTTTTTATAAATTTGATTTCTTTGTTTCATAAGGTAACGATGGCACCAAAGAAAAACTACACGCCTCATCAAATGTGCCTTGCAATGGAAGCTGTTAGAAAAGGGGACAGTTATTCAGCTGCAGCTGAGAAATATGGTGTACCGAGAATGACCTTAAGGAATAAAGTAACGGGAAAGAGTCCTGCTGTCTGTCATATGGGTCCTCCTACAATACTTTCTATGAATGAGGAAGCCATATTAAAAGAATGGTTGTTTGCAATGGCAGAACGACATTGCCCGATAGGAAAGGAACAGCTATTAGATTCTGTTCAACTAATTATAAAATCTGCTAATAGAAAAAATCCATTTACGAATGACAGACCAGGGCGGAAATGGTTCGATTTATTTTTAAAAAGACATCCAGAAATATCTGAGAGAGTTTCACAAAACTTAACCACATCAAGAGAATCTGTAAAAGAAGAACATATAGTCAAATGGTTTGCAGACGTAGAGAAGTATTTAGAAGAAAATAATCTTCCAGAAGTTTTGAAGGATCCAACGCGGATATTTAATACCGACGAAAGCGCGTTTTTCTTAAATCCCAAACCTGACCGTGTTTTAGTTAAAAGAGGAGAAAAAAATATATATTCTACGTCAGGGAACGAAAAAGAAAACCTTACAGTTCTTTTGACAGCCAATGCAGCTGGACAGTTAGCACCACCAATGATAGTGTTCTCTTACGAACGCATTCCCCGAGCTATTGCCGAAAGTATTCCTGAAAATTGGGGCATTGGCCGTTCAGAAAACGGCTGGATGTGCGGGAGTACATTCTACGAATATGTAACCAATATATTATATCCCTGGTTGGTTCAAAACAATACGAAGTTCCCCATAATCTTTTTTCTGGATGGTCATGCTTCCCATTTGACTAAACATTTGTCAGATTTCTGCAGAGAGAAACAAATTGAAGTTATCGCTCTATACCCAAACAGTACTCACTTGCTGCAACCCATGGATGTGTCGGTATTTAGGCCACTGAAACTGTTTTGGCGACAGGAAACAAGAAAATGGAAGACTGAAAATTTGGGAGAGCAAGTGAAAAAAGAAAACTTTGCGCCAATACTAAAACGTGCATTAGAAAGTATAACTCCAGACTGCATAAAAAATGGGTTTCGAGTGGGAGGACTTTTTCCTTATGGCCCAGACCTAGTAGACTTTACTAAGTTAAACATCCAAAACAGAGCATCGACAAGTAAAAGCGCCTGTGATTCTACAAAAAACCAAGCTTTTTTAAGCCAACTCGAAGCAGAAATCGTAAAGATATTTAAACGGTCTAAACTAGACACCTTTAACAAATGTTTTTACTTACCTATGTCAGAATTAGCTGATGTATTGCCGACTGAAGATTTGACAATGTACACTATCTGGGCCAAATATAAACATTTGTGTGCAGTTACTGTTTCTGAAAGCAATACAAAAGCTGAAAAATGATAGACCAGGTGTTGAGCAAAATACAACCCGAATGATAACTGTTTCTGAACAAACGACTTCTTCTGAAATCGTGCCTCTGATATCTGTTCCTCCTGTGGAATGCCACGATGATAATTCTACGACATCTGCAAGGTCTTCTGCAGAAACACTTCAATATAAAGATGTTTTCGGGCCTACTAACAATAGTAAGATAGAAAGGAGCAGTGAAAAATGTGGCACTAAGCAAAATCAGGACCTGCTTTCTAAATGCGCTATTAGTGACTTAACTTCTGCGCATAAAACTCCGACCAAAGTCACACCTTTGACATCTTCTGCTATTGCAGTAGATCAAAACGAGATAATACCATCTTCATCTACTGCAAGTTTTGCTCATCACATGCTTAATAAAGGAATTCTGGTGCCATCACCGTTTAAGAAGGCTCTATTTTGGCCAGAACCGACACAAAAGAAACGTAAAATATCCAAAGAAAAAATACCATCAGCTATTACAAGTAAGTCATGGAGAGAATTTTACGCAAAAAAAGATGCAGAAAAAAAAGAAAAGGAAGATATCAAAGCAAAAAAGAAAACAACTACGTAAAGAGAAGAAAGAGTTAAAAGAAAAAGCCATAATTGAAAAACAAAAGAATACGAGTAGACGTAAAGAAAACATGAAGAAACGCAGACATGTCTCTATCACTTCCAGTGAATCGGATGTTGTAAGTGATGTGACATATGCGGAGACAGGAGGAAGTGAAATAGACACACCAGATGAATCTGATGAAGATCTAACACTTATGGACTTGAAGCTAAAAAACACTATGAATGAAAATGGCAATAACAATCAAAGGCAATCAGATATTCAAGGCGACTCGATTTCACTTCCGCTGTCCTTAGAACAAGCTGATGCAAAAACGTCAGATGAAGATATAGTATCACCTAAAGTTATAGTAGAGCAGTTGCCTTATAACTTTTCTGTTACATCAGATGAAAATTTAAATGAAAAGTTGCGTTGTGGAATTAATACTTCCGTTTCTTGCAACGTTTCTGCTAACGATTATGTAATAGTTATTTGGAATGAAAGGAAATACCCAGAACAAATTGTTTCTGTGACTGAAGAAGGGGCGCTAGTATCTTGCCTTAAAAAATCCAAAGAATTTTGGCGCTGGCCTGTGATAAAAGACTTACAACTGTATAGTTGGGATAGTATTGTATGCCAAATAGCAATTCCTAAGTTTGCAAAAAAAGGCTGTTTTATTATTCCAGAAATGGATAATGTATAAATATTTAAACATACTAAAATTCAGTTACGGTGCCTTAAAGTATAAATTTAATGTTCTATTTTCTTAAAATTAAAGCTTGTTAATCTTGTAGTAGTTTTGTAAACGTTGTACCTGTTTTAAAATACTTAGTTACCTATTTACTGATTTATAAAATATCGGCTAATTATAATAAATGAAGGAAGGGAATGATAAGAAAGGTTAAAAAATATCCATTTTGTTGTTTTTATAATTTTAAGGTTTTAAGATACACCTTCTTACTATTACATCTTATGATTCAACACTTAATAACGAGACTGAAATCTAGCCTAGGAAGAAATGTTATTTACTTTTAACGACGTTGTCTCATTTTGATCTCATTTTGATTTTAATATGATTTTAAGAATATTGTAAGATTCTAAGTTCAGAATTATAAATATAAAACATATTTTTTTAGTTTCTTTTATTATGAATAAAAGCGTAATAATAAGCTTAGTGACCATTATTGGTGCTGGCCATAATAGGAGCAAACCATAAATGGTGGGTCAACATTGGGTTTTCGGCCGACCATCATTGGCTCTGTCAACAACAACTTTTTAAAATTACTTTTTGACTTTTCTATTAAAGACTATACCAATTTATAAGCTTACGTATGTACGGAAATCCTACTTTTATCAATACCAATAGTTTTGAATCAGATCTGGTTTTAATTAAATAACAAAAGGTCGAAAAATAAAATTAAAATATCTTAAAGTGACCATGACTGGTGCGTTTACCTTATATATGATGAGACTTCACGTACAAATAAAGAGAGTAATGCGAGGAGTGATCTCAGCTATGTTCATACGAAAAACTTGAACATTTTTTTTAAAAAAAGAAGAAAAAATGGTCTTTTGTGATTATCTTTCAAATCTATATAACGCCACATTGAAAAATCCTACCCACTCTCCCCTCATTACGATAATGGTTCAGGCTGAGATTCGTACCTTCTTCAGAGGGGAGTTGAATCACATCGAGCCCCCCCCCCCCACCGCCCCTAGCTAGAGGAGCCTCGCTACAAAAGCAGGGGCCGGGGTGCCTCGGCAATCGTTGTACTCAATACCTCGTGTGTCCAAGCTCACGAGTCTATTTCGATAAAGCTGTAAAAGCCGCAGGGCTAACAGCATACACTTTCAGAAAAGAAAAAAATATCCTACCCTCTCGAAGCCGGGGCGGGCCGCTAGTTCGTTATTTTTTTTAAATATGCGTGTCGTGAGGAAACCTGCATGTTTAAGAAATAAAAAAAAATATTTCCAAGACATGTTAAATCCGCCAACACGCATTGAAGCATCGCGGCAGACACTTCCTTACCCTATAACCGTCTAACAAGTGAGAGGAGGCCTGCGCCCAGCAGAGGGCCGTATTTGGCCGTAACTTTTTACTTTAATACTGTTGCGGAAAACCGACTTAAAAATACACGATAGTGATCGTATCGAATACAGTGACAATAACGCGATTATCTAATTTCTTGTGTTCAGATAAGGCATTATATATAGGTCAGTGGTGTATCCAATACGTTGTCTAATTACAAACGTTCATTACAACATAATTAACGTAAATGGGACAAGTATCTGCCAGAACAGACAGCTCGATCTTGATAGGACTGTAGGTACTTTATCTCCTTCTGCGTAGTTCAATATTAATGATGCAACAGACCTCTGCTTCGGCATCAGCAACTACAGAAGTTCTGCACGCCTTTTGAAATCTGTTTCTGCTTCTGTTTCCGCAACTTTTATAACGGAAATTTGATTAGCACTTTGATGACGGCATACCTTTCCTCAAAGGTGCTGACCTCAAATTGAGAATGAAGGCCAACCTACGTCATCATCAATGATGAATTTATCATTACAAATGATAGAATCCATGTTGCATCAGTAAAAAGAGTGACAGTCTTTTTTATAGACATAATCCACCTTCAGGAGTATGTGGTGGAAATGAAATGCACACATATATCGTAATCTTTTCAGCATCACCAGTGAGAAATTATTTAACGAAGCTATTCTTATACATTAAGAACTCCGAAACAGGTTTCTAGGTCATAAAATATAGTATACGGCTACTTAATTTTAAATATTAGTAAAATATTTGTCATAAATTGAACTTTTTACACTTCCGCTTCTGCATCTGTTTCTGTTTCTGCTAAAATTTACTTTTGACTTCTGTTTCTGTTTCTGCTTCCGTTATGACACTTCCGTTGCATCATACAATTATTTTATGTATACAGTTTTTTTTAAGTTAACAGACAAAGAAATATACACTATAGAAAGGTAGGAATACAGAATAAATGAGATGTGTATGGACCACAGCATCCACTTACCATCAGGTGAACTGTGTGCTCGTTTGTCACCCCTATTCTTTAAAAAAAAGGACCACTCCTAGTACAAGACTTTTAAGCTTAGTCGGAACAGTTAATGGGAGAATTAGTAGTGTTCACAGTACAACAATACATTCAAAATTACATTCATAGGTTTCACGTTTCTTAGGTAACCGGCTCAGGGGATGCATAGACAGACAGACTATGCATCCCCACAAGCGTGTAATGAACTGCGTTACTGTATCTAACTATCTAATATTATGTTCCCTGGTAGCTTTATCTAAAAGCCACAGCTCTTACTTTCCTAGATACTATGTTGAAAATTTAACCTTTACTTACAATTTTCAATACAAAATTCTTCTAGTTATAATTTTTATAGAACTAATGGTTACCAACGACGACACATTCCACCTGATGGTAATTGGATGATGTGGTCCATTTATCCCTACATATTTTCTAAATTATGAATCAAAATGCATATGCATTGTCACCCCTGAGGACTATGATAGAATACCTCATTACCATTAGCAGCTCAGCTTTAAGCTATGAATAAGTTCTTTTCATTCATTATTTATGTATTAGAGCCTCCTCTGTTGAACATAGGCCTCCCCATATATTACCGCATAAGGGAGGGGGATATTTATGAGACTTGCAACGAATATTCGGCGAATAAAATATATACTTTTATCCAATTCGGTCGAATACCGAATATCTTAGGTACTATTCGACCGAATACCGAACACTTAAGTAAAATATATTTTGTAATCAGATAATTGGTAAAATGAAAATATTGATTTATTTTATAATAATGTATATTTTTCTTGTAATCATTAAAGTTGTCATAGGTACATAATCAACTTCCGTATTATAAAAATTTACTAAAAGCTATCAAATAAATGTTTATGCAAATGAATTATTGCAATTAAAATTTAGAAGTAGAATTTTTTCTGCATTTTTAGTTTATTCCTATTCTTTTCATAGACAATCCCAGCTTAAGAGGAAAGACGCTCTGAATAAACACTACCTCCAGCCTGGCTGAATGCCTCAGTATTCGGCGTGTGGTTGAATATGCTATTTGTTGATAGTATAAAATTTAATATTTTGAGCTGTCAGAAAGATGCTACTGCCCATCTCCCGTTTCAATTTCCCTTTGTTGCCTCATACCTCACCCACAGGATGATGGGGATAAGAATGATTAAAAAAAACCTTAATAATGTGGGTTAAAAATAATTATCAATCTTTATAAGATCATAATTAATGAGCTAAACACTTAAACATGAATTATGAGTTTGTTTTTATCATTATCTCAATTATAAATAGGTACAATGAACAGTGATTTCTATGTAAATACAGTCTATTATGACAGTTTTGCTTAAGATTATACATAAATGTTATTGTTTTTAGAAACATTAAATTGAAATGCAATTAATATAACCGGGAACAAGTTTCAGAAAAACAACACAAAAAATTGAATAAGGAATAGGAAAATGGAGCTTGGGGTGATAATAAGTAAAGCTGGTAAATTTTTTTTAAGAAAAATATATAGTGTGAAGAAGAATCATAGCCCATACTTGGTAGCTTTCATGAGGAAACAACTTTTTAGTTCTTTGAAATCAAATTGTTTTAATAAATGTTGCAGCAGAGATTACGTAGTAGAACTATGCTGCAGCTATATATGACTAGTATAGTTGTAGAACGAATGGAACGGCTTGACCGGGGAAGTTCCATGTTCTCACAGAATACCAGCATAAAATAGCAGTTTATCGCTACTGTATATCGGATGGTAAGTGTAGAGAACCGGAGACCATTTTTACTGGAGATGAGGCATTCTATCTTAGTACTCACGGGTGAGAACGCATTTGCATTTCGATTCGTAATCGAGGATAAATGTAAATGTCTATGGGCCACAGCAACCACTTACCATCAGGTGGAATGTGCGCTCGTTTGTTGTCACCCTTATCCTATAAAATAGAAGAAAAAGAACCATTTTGTCACCATAATCGATCAGTCATTCTAATTCTAAGCTGTCAGTATATCCCGTTATGACTGTAATCATGAAAATTCATGTATAAAAAAAGATAATAATACAATATTAGATGGTAGGAGTTCCTTTCAGCCTAGCAGTCCACATGGATAGAACCACCCTCTTGCATATATGTGCAAACAATGCTGTTTGTTTGTGTGTGTGCTTAAACTGCTGCGACTGAAGGGTAGCGGGGGACAGTAAAGATACATACTGTAAGTCATTTCATCATAGTCCTATGAGCACTTGTAGCCTTCTTTATTTGAAGTGGGTTGCAGGTGCCCTGGGCTGCTGCAGCAGTTACCATCAGGTGTGCTGTAAGTTTTCTTGTCACTTCTATCTATATCTATACAAATAAATAAATTTGAAGTACAGTACATTTATAATAGAATTGAATAATTGTAATGTAAGAGTAACAGCTCTTTGCTAAATGATATTAAAGTATCGTCATCATCATCATTCATCACAGCCCTTCACAATTCCACAGGACCCTTGTATCCATCGACTTCCTGCATGTGTTGTCAAGTCGTTACTCCATCTAGTGGGAGGATGCCCTACACTTAGCCTATCTGTACGAGGCTGCCACTCCAATAACCTATATTCCCCATCGGTTATCGGTTCTTCGAGCTATGTGGCCGACCCATTGCC